TACAACATAAGGGCAGTGGTTATTTAGATCTCGTTTATAGTCATATGACAGATGTTATTTTTCATCCAACTGGTGTTGTAGCATGGGGATCTTAACCCGGGGAGAAAATTAAGTTCGAAAACACAAGACTTGAAGAATGCTTGCAACTTATGTCGCCTTCAGTTTCGGTCGATTCGTCTGCAGTGAATATAATATTGCACTGGGTTGATAAATCATGTCTCGGCTGTAATTGTATTACATATTACACACTCAAACAATAGTGGAGTTATTGTTTGCTAAATTATTTACGATGAAGATAGCAATTTGAATGACAAACAACGTGGTATTCCTATAACATAGACAAATAATATGGCTGTACTTAAACTTATTTGTTTTCGAACAGCGCTTATACTTGCGTTGCAATATCCAAAAATTGAGCATAGATGGACAAACGATAAATGAAATGTTCAAATTCAGCACTCATCGTAAATTCCTGAAGCCAGTCGTCAGGGCATAAATACATGGGGCCAGTCGTCAGGGCATAAATTCATGGGACTAGTCGTCAGGGCATAAATTCATGGGACCAGTCGCCAGGGCATAAGTTAATAGGACTAGTCGTCAGGGCATAAATTCATGGGACTAGTGGTCAGGGCATAAATACATGGGGCCAGTCGTCAGGTCATAAATTCATGGGACTAGTCGTCAGGGCATAAATACATGGGACCAGTCGTCAGGGCATAAATTCATGGGACTAGTAGTCAGGGCATAAATACATGGGGCCAGTCGTCAAGGCATAAATTCATGGGACTAGTAATCAGGGCATAAATACATGGGACTAGTCGTCAGGGCATAAATTCATGGGACTAGTAGTCAGGGCATATATACATGGGGCCAGTCCTCAAGGCATAAATTCATGGGACTAGTAGTCAGGGCATAAATACATGGGACTAGTCGTCAGGGCATAAATTCATGGGACTAGTAGTCAGGGCATAAATTAATGGGACTAGTCGTCAGGGCATCAATTCATAGGACTAGTCGTCACGGCATCTAAAACCATCGTATGACCGACGGTGGAGTTTTGCAGGCCCCTGCATCAACATCATGAGCGGTGACTTAGTCTTTGACATACTAAACAACTGGCGAAAGATATCACGAAGGGATATTTCCGTGTTTATGTCGTGTGCCGGCCTTGCTGTTCGTAAGGACTTAGTGAAAGTATCTTGTAAAATCTTGTTTAGCTCGAGTGATCACCGGTGCCATACGGCATTTTTGCTTCACGATCACAATAGGAAGGAGATGAGAAGCAACCCAAATGTCTTAGGAAAGCTTCGCGACTACGTGAATATCTCGCAATGCCGGCGTGCAGCCAGCATATTACAGTACAATGTAACAGAGATGGTACCGTCGTGTCAGCGAAAACAGCCGAACCTGAACAGTCCACGTGTAAGGCAAATCTAAAGCATCTCTTCTAGTTAGTCCTAAGAATTTCAAATTGACCAAATATTAAAGTATAGTTTATATTTTTGTTTTTGTTTTGCAACTTCTGTTTAAAATGCGCTTGATATTTATTATTGCTAGGAATTTTAAATGGAAGGGTCAAACATGAGAGTATCTACAATTTCTTTATTCGGACGTAGGTAGGTCAAAAAATTTAACACCGTGGACAGGTCACGTGACGCCTTCACGAACCTGTTTCGAACGCATCGTACTCTAAATAACGACGTCATGTAGTCATCGTGTGTCTTTCAAGTGTCCTTCGTGTAAACCTCTTTATAAAAATTTACATCTTCATACACCCTTCCTGTCACATCTCTTGACATGTATTCATCGTACCTGCCTCAGTTGTTGATTGGCTGTTAACTTAAATTGGGGTTTAAAGGCGTGAAATTCAAAATTTCATATTTGAATGGATTGAACTAACAGACAGGGCACAATTTTACTGTCACTTGTTTCTTCATAGATATACAGACCAATTTCTGAAGTCATGTCAGTGTTGTATTACTATGTTGGAACCTCCAACTGGGTTACGTGAGGTCATATGTACTTAGTAAATCGAATAATAATTTCAATTGATATGGCGATACAATAAATATGGTAAAAGAAAAAAATGATTGCCATGTCTGTTTGATTTCTAATATAACACTCTTAGAGTACAGCTTAAGTAATACCAAACAGACATTAACAGAAAACTAAACATGACGTAGCTCGGTGATTATAAAAAAGCACCTATATCAATAGCCAATGAAAAAGCTTATTTTTACCACGTGATACACTTATATACAATACTAAATGACATTTCAAACGAATAACAACATGTTAATGGTGGCGATACGAATGTTCCGAGCATGACTCTAAATTGTTGTACACACATCACTAATGTTAAATGTACATGTAGTATCACAACACCATTCACTTTTATATATCATACATCACATTTCAACCTGCTTAATATCTTCGGCGCCAAATTCATAAGAAGTTGCCTCAAAACCTGACAACCACGTGTAATAGGTCGGACATCATGTCTCGTAAACATACTCGATACGTGTAAACGATATATTTACAGCTGTACATTTAAAATGGATTTCTTTACTCTTTTCTTAAATGAAAATATTCAAAACACTTTTGTTTTCCAAAGTTGATAATAGAAATGAACATCGTATGTAAAAGATCCTGTTATTTTTATATACATTGATTAAAAACTGTTTATATCTTATTTTGACGATCTCTATCTGTGCTCTAACAGTGGCTGTGTAAATATCTTCTATCCAGGCCTTTATCCCCTATAATTTTGATGATCTCTATCTATGCTCTACCAGTGGCTGTGTAAATACCATCTTCTATCCAGGCCTTTATCCCCTATAATTTTGATGATCTCTATCTGTGCTCTACCAGTGGCTGTGTAAATACCATCTTCTATCCAGGCCTTTATCCCCTATAATTTTGATGATCTCTATCTGTGCTCTACCAGTGGCTGTGTAAATATCTTCTATCCAGGCCTTTATCCCCTATAATTTTGATGATCTCTATCTGTGCTCTACCAGTGGCTGTGTTAATACCATCTTCTATACAGGCCTTTATCCCCTATAATTTTGATGATCTCTATCTATGCTCTACCAGTGGCTGTGTAAATACCATCTTCTATCCAGGCCTTTATTCCCTATAATTTTGATGATCTCTATCTGTGCTCTAACAGTGGCTGTGTAAATACCATCTTCTATCCAGGCCTTTATCCCCTATAATTTTGATGATCTCTATCTGTGCTCTAACAGTGGCTGTGTAAATACCATCTTCTATCCAGGCCTTTATCCCCTATAATTTTGATGATCTCTATCTATACTCTACCAGTGGCTGTATAAATACCATCTTCTATCCAGGCCTTTATTCCCTACAATTTTCATGATCTCTATCTGTGCTCTACCAGTGGCTGTGTAAATACCATCTTCTATCCAGGCCTTTATCCCCTATAATTTTGATGATCTCTATCTGTGCTCTAACAGTGGCTGTGTAAATATCATCTTCTATCAAGGTCTTTATTCCGTATAACTTTTTCTTATCTGTGCTCTAACAGTGGTGTGTATATCTTTGCCATGACAATTTTGTTCTAAAATTGAGTGGCTGTGTAAAACATCTTCTATCCAGGCCTTTATCCCCTATAATTTTGAATGTACATAGCTGTGTAAAACATTCCTATACATTTATTATCATTTTGATGTTTTTGAACAGTGAATACATTTCCATTTTATTCCGATAATTTTTTTCTAAATAATGGATTTGCTGACAATTGTTTAAAATTGACTGAAAAACAATATTGAACCACACATGTACAGTGTACTGTTTACTGTTATTTGTGGTGTTTGATGATGGAGAATTCACCTCATTGACATAAATACGTGTTAAATCGATTACGGAAGATGTCACAAAAATAATCTTACACCGTGAAGTCATTTAAATGTCATGAACCCAAGCCAAATTGCATCTGATTCTGAAAAATATATTTGTAATACATAAAATAAATTAAAAACGATTGTCCACTATTGAAAGCTCACACACTAGTTCCATGTTAACAACCTTGTACTAGATGTTGTTCGCACTACCTGGCAGAGTGTATGTTTATTTCACATGTTCCTCGTTTTGTCTACAGTCCTACTCCTTCATATTATTTCACATGTTCCTCATTTTGTCTACAATCCTTCTCCTTCATATGTTTCACATTTTCCTCATTTTGTCTACAGTCCTATTCCTTCATATGTTTCACATGTTCCTCGTTTTGTCTAAAATCATACTCCTTTATGTTTCACATGTTTCTCATATTGTCTACAATCCTTCTCCTTCATATGTTTCACATTTTCCTCATTTTGTCTACAATCCTACTCCTTCATATGTTTCACATGTTCCTCATACTGTCTACAATCCTACTCCTTCATATGTTTCACATGTTCCTCATTTTGTCTACAATCCTACTCCTTCATATGTTTCACATGTTCCACAATTTGTCTACAGTCCTATTCCTTCATATGTTTCACATGTTCCTCGTTTTGTCTAAAATCATACTCCTTTATGTTTCACATGTTTCTCATATTGTCTACAATCCTTCTCCTTCATATGTTTCACATTTTCCTCATTTTGTCTACAATCCTACTCCTTCATATGTTTCACATGTTCCTCATACTGTCTACAATCCTACTCCTTCATATGTTTCACATGTTCCTCATTTTGTCTACAATCCTACTCCTTCATATGTTTCACATGTTCCACAATTTGTCTACAATCCTACTCCTTCATATGTTTCACATGTTCCTCGTTTTGTCTAAAATCATATTCCTTTATGTTTCACATGTTCCTCATATTGCCTGCAATCCTACTCTTCCATATGTTTTACATATTCGTCATACTGTCTACAATCCTACTCCGTTATATGTTTCACATGTTCTACAATTTGTCTACAATCTTACTTAATGCTTTCGCGGCTTCCTGTCATGATGCAGTATTTTTATATGACGTCACTGCCAAATTGATTGAAATCATTGTAGTTTCATGACTTCTTCTCTCGTTCTTGTACCACTGGTAGAGCTGTGTCTCTCTTTTGAAAAAATCATTCTGCGCAGCTCAAACCGGAAGGATTGACCGGAAACTACGTAGATAAAGAAATTTATCCCATAGTTCATGAATGAGACTACAGATAGAAGGTCGTGCCAAGGTTGAATGGAGATGAGCATCTGTTGAACCTCAAGGATTGGCTTCCCGCTGTGAAGGGCGATATGAGCATATATGGAAACAATTACCAGTGGCAGCATCGTGATAATGTATATTATTGAAATAGCAAGAAGCATGAACGTGGTTTTGTGTGTTCTCGCTACAACGCGAGATCTCGAGTCGCTACTCGCCTCCCGTCGTACCCGGTATATCTGATATAGTACCATCGTATTGAAAACTAAAACAAGTAGAAACGGCAAAATAAATATCAAAGTAAACTGATAAAGATAAATATGTAAATTTACATACAACTGAATAAAAGACTGCATGGCTTGACAAGTGTTCATGTAACTTCCAATCATTATGAATCGGAATACTTGGGTGTATGATAAAATCACAAACAGCGAGAAAATGATGGCTACGGCTCCGGTCTGAGTTCGCAAGACGCTTTTCTTAAATGGCTGACAAACTGCTACAACTCGTTCTGCTGCCATGCAGACGATTAACCATGATGACATTAGATAACACATATGTTCCAGGAAATTGTAGGTTTTGCATGCAGCGTCGTTAAAATGATAAAATACACTTTTGTGGCCAAGACCAAGATGGTTGTAGAGTTCATCGACAAGAGTCACCTGTCGACCAATTAACGTCAGACTATCAAATACAGCCAGTGCACATAGAAAATGGCTGTAGGATTTTTTACGAAGGTTTCTCGATTTCATGACAGCGAAACTTAAACAGTTGCCGATGATTCCGACCAGTACAATGATAGGGGTTATACATTCCTTGATCCACCATCCCCACTTGGCTGGCTGCATGTCAGGAAACGCGAAGTAATCTGTAAGAATAAACACGATATGTTTTTAATTCTAATATCACACCATTCAAGTCAAAACATTGTTCAAATATGTGACTAAGGAAAAGAGAAATGTGCCAAAATAAAATAAAAAATAGAAAATCGAATGGTCTTGGGAAATCATGCAAATATGAAGCAAATCGTAAAATGATTTCATTTTCAAGTTGTCCTGTTTTAGAGATTTTATTCCGTCATCATAAACATTCAAACTCACGAAAATAATATGTTTTACAGTAAACAGCTGTACGAAATATAATGCCAAGAAAATAAAATCGTTTTCATTGAACGGCTGTACAGAATATCTAAGCTATGAAAAATATTATCTCACAAAAATAATTAAAAAAATCACTTGTGAATAAAAAAAGACAGTTGTGTTTTATGTTCCTCTTGTGAAATGCAAGGTGCGTCGATGTTTTTTTCAATTCAGTTGATTAAGTTTAAAGTGTATTTTATTCAATATAAGACAAACATACATAGATGAAGCACACACGTATTTATATCATTTCGTCTCCTATTACTATAACCTGACAGTAGGACGGCATGTTCCATACACAGCACAGCAGCAACACATGATAAACCAGTTGATGTTGTGCTCGCTTTGGTAAGGGAATGAGTTTTGATCAAATATCCTCCTACACAACTTTTTTTCAAATGACAAGAAATTTCCCTTGAAGAATTCTGAACAAATGTTTGACTCACCAGTAAAAACATTACCATCTGCCATCAAACCTGGATCAAGTTATTTGTACTGAGTTCGTCTATTGGTTCTAGCTAGTTTGTTTACCTTTATATCCCTATTAAAATAACTATGCCACCATCACCAACACACTTATCTCTCATCATTGCTACAACACTAATGTTTGGTTTGTATTGTTTAACGTCCTATCGACAGCTCAATTTATTTCAGCACGGCTTCCTGATGTCTGCTTGGTGAGTGCATGTGCATGTTTTGCTCGCGACAAGGTTTGACGCTATAAAATGTGGAATTGTGCTGTATTCATGCATGTGCGTGTATAAATGCATGAAAGACAATTTGTCTATCAATCATCTCATGACATCAGGTGCACAAACATGTGAAGGGTTTAACAAGAAAAAGAAAATGTCAACTGTAATGTATTTCCAATCGGAACCATCACGTTATGGAACTGTCTGAGCCTTGGTATGCTAAGGGAGCATATACTTTTAAATCTTTTAACGCAGACCAAATTTACATCCTAGGTTTCTTTAAAAACAGCATGACTTCCACCAAGCTTACCATATATAAGGAACTAAATGTTCAAAAGAATGCGTTTTGGACACTAAACACAATATTCCTGTAGTCAACTTATCTTTAGGGAATATAAATATTTAACCATGAACCACCTTCTTAAATTCGAGGTTTTAGGTGAAATTCATCCTTAATAATGCTAATAATGATATGAGTCAATTTCATCAACAAATGTTCTATTTTTTCCATTTGATGAACAGCTCAGGCCACCATTATTTAACATTGAAGAAAGCCTATCTCAAATAAACAAATAAATAAATAAATAGATAAATAGATAAATACTTCACCAGAAAATGTATTTAACGGTCGAATTTTTGTGATAAGGTATGAAGCTAATTATACTAAAGATATTTTGAATTGACTGATTGAAGGGTTTTTTTTCAAGTAGATTAGTTTCACAAGAAATGTATTTTGTTTCACAAAACGATGAACAAATAATCTTTTACACAGTAGATGTGATATCTCTATTGTAAATTAACCGACTGGACAATCATTTGATTTTAGTGAAAAGTATAGTCGAAGGTATAAATGACCCGTGTCAAACCGGAAAACATTCGATGCCGACCTCTGGCTATCATGTCCGAATTCACTCCTTCAAAAAGCATGTGATGTTTATCGTTCTATAAAGACTATTATAACAATAGATATTCCAAGAAACAAGACAAGTACGGCATAAAACGTAAAAACTCGACGATAAATGTTTAGTTATCCAAACCAAAGTGCAATAAACTAATTATATTCTTTTTAAAATACACGTCTGGTAAAGCGCTGTATTCTTCTGTCTTTTACTTTGCCCTGAAGGGATAACGAGAGATATAAAACCTCACAATATTCTACGGTACCCACCGTATACAGGTAACTTGTGTGAAATCAAATGATGTAACGTTCTCAAAATGTGGAGTGTGGTAAAACAAAGAGTTTTTCACGTTACAGTAGCGCATCAAACACATAGAACGTAAGATTTCACCACAAAATTATACTCTACATTATAAAGTTACAATGACTAATTGCTGTTTATTTATTTACAATAGGATCGTGACTTGCAACAACCAGACATACATAACATACAATGTATATTCTGTACGGTCTTATATTTGCCAGGATAAAATCCATCCTTCGTGACTGAGTGAAATAAAATGATTATAGTTTATGACACCAATAAATTCGGGACGATTCCTGTATCTCTGTTAGCAATAATTCCTTAATTTAAAACTTTGTTATCTTTTTCCGACATCTCTAAATTGATAATGCTGCGAGACAGTCGCCTGCATTACATCAGAGAGTTTATGTAAAACTGCGTCCTTGAGAAAGAAATAACGAGCTGATGGTATGAACTGAAGATATGAGCTGCAGGTATGTGCAGTATTTTTCTTTATTTTCGATTATACCAATATCTGTGATAATTTTTTTAAAATTATCTTCTTTTAATGCTAAAAATATTAAAAACGAGCAAACCTTTTTCACTTTTCTATAAAGCTGCCTTTATCAGTTTAACATCCGGACGTTGAGTGACAGGCTCCTGTACGTTTTTATAATACTGTTGTGACGAAGTCTCATGGTGACCTATTATAATACCCTTCATCCGGTGTCGTGCGTTGTGCGTCGTGCGACCGTAAACAATGTAACATTTTCGACTTATCAGCAATCCCTGAACAAATTTCAATAAAATTTTGCAGAAACCTTCCCTGGCCTTAAATGAATCACAATTGTGCATTATACAGTCCCAACCCCAAGGTGCTTTATCAAAATTGTGCATTTCTTGACCCCAGGGTCTCAAATTTCCCTGTGGGAAGGCGGAAAAGTTTACTATAGTTTATATATTGGTAAAATAGATTTTGGAGCATAATTTCTTCAATTTCCATTGGAAATATATCAGACTTGGTTAAAGTTATGAGTGAAGGATGACGGGTTGATGGCATGCCCATTTTGCTCCTGACTGACCCCAAGGGGCTGATTGGCGGGGCCAAAAGGGGACAAATTCAGTCAGATTTTAAAAAATCTACTTCTCACGACCAAGATACGACAGAATCAAACATTCATCATGAATGGAGATATCATAAGGTACTTTAATTACCAAAATGAGTATCACATTTCGTCATGGGGAGGTATATTTTTTTAGACTTAACTGTAATTCTCATTGAAAAATTGAATTTTTGAGTATAACTTTGGTTATTTACCACTGAAAATAACTTAATAGGAATTATCAGTATAGGATGACAGTTTTCATGGGATGCATTTATGACACTGTCTATATTCAGTGTCATAATTTCTGTTTCATGACACTTGATTACAACCTTTTACCTTTATATTAAATATTGCTTATCTCAGATGACCATCAATTTTGCTAGCCATCTTGTTATAAATAAAGCATTATTATTATAATCAATAATAAATCACTTTCATAGGACATATTTTATTGATGTACATGTCTTCCATTCTAGAGAACACGAACCTTGACAATAAACAACATGTTATTGTCACTTTAGGATGTTTAAAGAATGATAAGTGTCAAAATTACTTCAGTTTTACCGGAGTCGTCAAGGATTTCGACTAGAAGCTTTCCTTGGCGCGTGACAGCAAATACACGTTGAGCGATTTGAAAACACATTTAAATTCTTTATAACATTGTACGTATATCCGATTTTAGCAATCATAAGCATTGATACGTTATATATATAGATATAAGTTGATACAGATTAGTTATATGACACTTGAGTTTATATAAAATGCACGTGGGATGCGATCGATCAAGCGGTAAAGCTTATGAAGGATCCTCTCATAGATTTGAAATTTGATTTGTTCCAAATCAATCAAGTTTTACAGTAGCCGAGAATAAAGCGAAATGATCTCATACTGAGCGATTGGCTTGATGATGTAAGATAATTCTCGTATTGATAATAGTGTGCCAAGTCAGAGCAGATCAAGTTCAGTAAGTATGTTTACTACTCGACATTTCAAAGGACTACTGTCCCTTCGTATTATGTATAAGAATGTCATGCCATTTTCCAATAACGTTTATATTAAATTAAAGGCCAAATACTGTTCTAAAACCTTGACAGATACATAAAAATGTACGGTGAAATCACCATTACCAACTTTAAATTCCATACTAGAGAAAACGTTATCAAACACCTGACTTCCGTCTTGCTAAATTAAATCAGTCATGTACTAAAACTGTATATTCCTTTAGTTTGGTGCACATCTCGACAAAGAGACAAGACCAGCAGACAGACATTCGCTTCTGGTGTTTCGTTATTGAGTTTTCTTTCAAGGACACTTCTTAATCACAGTACTAATGCCAATTAGCAACCTATGTTTGCAGACTTTCTGTGCAATACGTGCATATATGTATATCAGCTGCATTTTTTACGTGTACAATGAAACGATATGTTTTTAAGGCGTTGAACTTTCTTCCCCGTCGAGGTATACATGGCCAACACGATCTAAGATGATGGATTTGATTTGATCTAAGATGTGTGTTTTTGTTTTGTTTTTGACAGAAAAAGACCAATTACACTAAAATCTCTGATCATATCTTGCCTTAGTTTTGATCGAATATAAGTTTAGATTATTAATATGGTGACGTGTTGTTATTTTCGTGTTTTGGTTTTCTTTCTTCATGTTACGCCGTGGACACATCGCATTACATAAATAGTATATACCACTGTCCTTTGTTCTGACAAGATTCGTGAAAT